GTTTAGGAGAGTAAACCAACATTGGTTAGGGTATTGTTGTGTTTATATGTAAGAGAAAATTTGCCTAAGTCAAAGTCAGTTTTATTTGTTATGCAATCAGTGTTGTGTCTTACTTTTTTGGACACTTGTTCACACATCTCATTGAACTTTCTGTTACAATATTAATAAAAAATTCCAATATGCTTTCTGAAAAAATAGTTTTTTCTTGTTTTCCGAAAATGTTCAAAAATGACTTAGGCAATTATGCTATCTGGCTAACGAAATATAAGACGGTGCAAGTCCATTCAATGATTTAAAAACTATAAACGTAATCTTAAAATCATAAAAACCACAGGTAGCCAGTGTAAAGAAGCTAGAACAGGAGTGATATGATCATACTTCTGGGATTTAGTGAGGACTCTAGCTGCTGTATTTTGTACCAACTGGAGGCGTTTAAGGTTTTTTTTTAGGCAGACCAGCAAAAAGAGAATTGCAGTAATCAAGAGGACAGAAAATAAAAGCATTAATGAGAGAARTAGCATCCGCAAATTAGATAATTGATCTTAATTTGGCAATATTTCTGATGTGATAAAAGCCAGTTTTAATACTATTATTAAAATGTTTAGTGAAGCTCAGATCCGAATCTAGAACCACCCCAAGGTTTCTAGCCTCATGGGAGCAAGTAAAATCTGAAGAATTAAGAATTTGAATTAGTCTCTATGAGCCTTAGGACCCAAAMCCAACATCTCCGTTTTATTATTGTTTAACAATAAAAAATTATCTGAYATCSAGACCTTAATATCAGTAAGACAAGAACTTATGATGTTTAGAGCAGACAGATCAGAAGGATCAATGGATAAATATATTTGGGTATCATCTGCATAAAAGTGGAAAGAGACATTATATTTGCGAATGATTTGACCAAGAGGTAACATGTAAATAGAAAATAGCAGTGGGCCAAGAAYTGAACCTTGTGGAATGCCACAAKTAAGTTTTACCAATTCAGAAGAACCGTTACCAATTGATACACAGAAGAACCTATCATTTAAATAAGATTTAAACCATTTCAGAGCAGTTCCACTCATACCCACACAGTATTGCAGGCAACTGATTAGGAAGCTATGGTCAACCATATCAAATGCAGCTGATAGGTTTAACAAAACCAGGATTGAACAACAACCAGCATCAGAGTTCATTCTAATATCATTCACTACCCTTAGTAAAGCAGTTTCAGTACTATGGTGCCTATGGAAACCAGATTGAAACGTCTCAAAGATAGAATTTTTATTTAAAAATGTGRATAATTGATTAAAAACGGCTTTTTCTAAGATTTTTGCCATAAAAGGTAGTTTAGAAATAGGTCTATAGTTATTAAAATCATTAGTGTTCAGGTCAGGTTTCTTTAATAAAGGTAAAACAGACATAGTTTTAAAAGCTAACGGCACATGTTATCTGTGAGAGTGTTTTGAGCTGTAGTCGTCAGTCACCTGTATCTGAAACCCATAGTTCTTCTCCACGTCAAACTCTGAAACCTTCACACAGGATTTTAGGTCAATCTCTCCGTCCAAGTCATCTTTCTGCACAGAAAAACAATTCGGGTCATCACACCCAGACACATTTCTTTTCCAGCTCACTGAAGGTTACATAGTTGTTGAAAATATTCTAAGCTGGCTTAAATGTTTATTTTTTAAAGTACCTCCTCTGCTGTTGAGTCCCTGTAATACTTGAGCCCGGCGTCAGTCAGAACAAACCAGTGTTTCTTCCACTAAAGAAAAAAAAAAAAGCACCAGAGCAAATGTTAACTTTATCATAACAGTAACTTCAGACTCAGCCCGGGGTCAAAGAGCTGAAGGTACCCTCACAGGATGTGGTGTGTGACATGCGATGCAGCATTTGAGAAGTGACACCTGGTACTTTCAAACCACCAACACATTAATGTGACAACAACACAGAAACTTTTAACGCCTCAATAAGAGGGTTGCTGGCATGTGGGGAGTAAGAGACAAATATTTATTACAAACTGAGACACTCACCTCCCCGCTGTCGTCTAGCTTKGACATCCAGCCCTTTTTGAAATTTAAGAGGTCCGGCTGCCAAGAAAAATAAACGGTGTCAGTTTAGTCAACCTTTATTTGAATGACTGAGAAAAAAAAACTCTACACTCGCAGGAAGGAAGTGTGCGACGTCGTCAAGGCCATTCATGTGCAAAGTAGGGTTGGGCGTAATCGTATCGTGTGTAATTAATCGTCAGAAAAACATTAATCGATTACTTTTTGGCACTTGACGATTAATATGATTAATACCAGCAGGCAGASTGACTGGAGATTACTCCGGTCAGTCCGCTCGGTGCTCCTCTCTGCTTCAAATATGACGAACATTAAAAATAAATTTCTGTAATTTACTTATCTATCAACACAATTTAAAATATGATGTATAGCCTGAAATCTGTAATTTACACAATTTGGAACAATTTTTTTATAAAGAGCAAATCTTTCCCTCTAAATTGGTCATGTGACCAGGACATAAGGGTGTCCAGGGACTCCAGGGGATTAATCGTCAAATTAATCGCTATTGGCTAAATAGCACAATTGATCGCGATGAATTTTTTGCCAATATTGCCCAACCCTAGTGCAAAGCCACGAATTATAATCCACACTGAACAGATTACAAAGAGGAGGATGAAACACAAAGAAAGGGGATATAACTAAATGAGATGAGCGGATCAGACAAAAAAAATACATCACAAGCTCATATCAACAGGTCTAGTACATTTAACAAAGTCTGAGAACCACTCCCCCCCCTCAGGTCATGAAGACAACAGATACTGTCGACTTCTTTTACCACAAAGGAGATAAACCAGTTTCCACTGTTTGAGCTTTTCTCTGACTGAAACTGGTGAAGACGACCCTGGAAGTTCAAACACAAGGAAACGTGTATGGTAGACAAGTTTTTTGTTTTTTTTAATGAGTGTAATACTGCAAACACACTCGAGGGGTTCATCACATCAGCATGCTGTTTCCACAACAGGCTGCAGCTCTGTTGCAGTGTCGAACTCAAATACAGGAAGAGAAAAACGTGCATGGGGTACCTCTAGATGTGGTGATCCCAGATTAAGATTAAGCAACATACATTCCACCCTTTGCTTATCTCTTCGTAACGTGAACGTACATTCCTCAAATTAAAATCTGTCTGCTTTGGTCATTTCCCACTGCCATTCTGCTCTCATCTCATTACTCCTTTTTTGTGTTGATTTTATTCTTATTTTACAACATTTAATTCTGTCCTGTTTGTTCCCACACACTCCTCACATCCCATCGTCTTTAAATCACTTCTTTTGGGGGATTTTGTTTTGTCCTGTTGGAGTTCCCGTACGTTACAGCAACACCCAGGTTTCCCAGGACAACTCATCCATTGTGAAAAATGCCTTTCATCCAAAAACAGTCACAGTCTGATGACTGCCAATAGACTGCAGCTTTAGGACTGATTGTAGGAGTAGGCCTGGTGATAATCTGAAACATTTTATACAACACCCAAGTGCTGCTAGGTGGACAAAAAGTGAAACAAATCTGACTGTAACTGACAGTAAACAGCTGCAGGGCAATGAATACAAAGTAAACCTGAGCTACAAGAAAACTAAAGAAACGAAAACAAATAACTGCCTGTCCTTCCTGCGAGCTTCCTTCTTCCATCTAACCAATAAACTACAGGGGCAACTTGTGACGTGTCTAACCTGATCATAAATTCATCTTCACTTGTCTCTACATGCCCATAAGGCTGAGTAAGGAAGCAGAAGGCATATTTTACGAGAAATTGTAACATTTTAAAGAAGGGGGGAACGGTTAAAAAGAAGTTCTAGTTACACAGACGACGTGCGCTCTTCCTGACCWCTGATGTCCTGTCACTGTAAAGCAGTATTGTTTCCAGAGCTTTGTCCTTCAGGACTTGTTGAATAGGTTACCTCTGTCCACACAACGCCAAAAAGAGCATCTCAAAAAGCAGTTGATGACATTTCTCCGAATACTTTAGTTTGGATCCAAAATTTCTTGAATATTATACAAGAACAGGTTTACAGGTCGCTTTAGCTGTGTGACTGGGTAAAAATGCAAAATACAACACGGGCTCTTGAAAGAAAAAAATACATTTCACAAAATATGAAAAGTTTATCTTTATTCTGTAAAAATAGTACCATGGCTGTTAAAGCGATTTGGGTTGTCATTCATTGTTTTATAATTAGCAAAGTTTATAAACTAAATAGTTGGGGTTGCAAGTCTTTTCCACAACAATTGTGAGTCAAAACATAAAAAAATAATTTAAAAAATTGGTAACCACTGGTATGTAGTGTTTATAAAAGATGGCTAACCGATAACAACATCTATATGGAAAAACAGAAAACCACTAACTGATTTAGTAATTAGTTATTTGTCCAAATCACACGATTCAAACACTTTTCAATATAAAGTCAAATTTATAAAACTAATTTTTAGAGTAAAACTTGCACTTGTGACTAAGATATGCAATATATGATAAATGTTTAGCGTTGACATTAGATTTTTAACTTTATAAGTGTGAAATTGTGTGAAATCTATGGAAGCGTCCATCTTTTATATAAAATAAATGATGATGAATTTTTTTTTTTTTACAAGAAACTCAAATTGTATTTTTCGTAAAATAGAAATGGGGGAAAAGTCTCCACAGTCTTTTAGTCTCGAACAGAAAGTAATTCCCATGCTTGTTGCCAAGGCTGTGTAATCCTGTAAATTTTAACTTTATGAAATATTCTGCAGCTAAGAAACGTCGGGATTGAAAGTTATAACGTGTTGTTAAGACTTTGTCGAAGTTTGAGGTTTCTGTTGTTTCACTTTTACAAGATAAGTGGAAAAAACACGAAGCCAAGTGTCACAGCTGGCTGTGGACATGTAACCCTGGTCTGGACCTTCTTACTGCAAACAACAAAAACAGGACAAACTCCAACACAAACAAGCAGGCACTTTTAAATTAAAATACACAAGCCTCAAATTAACCAAACACCAAAATAATAAAAAATGGTTTTATAGCTTTGAACACGCCCCTTGTCTTGAGTGAAATAAACACAGCAGAAATGCAGCTAGCAGCTAATGCACTTTGAGGAAAATAAGCTAACTTCAGAGTTCATTTGACAAACATTCATTCAGGAAGAGACAAGACAGGAAAAACAAACTGTTTTCAAGATGCAAACAAACACTGTTGGGTGAGCAGCTTACCGTCATGATAACAGGATCCGGTGTGGTTTAAAGAAAAAAAAGACAAAAATACTCTTAACCCGAGGTTTCAGGTTAGCTCTCGGTCGAAAAGCACCTTACTGTCTCGCGCCCGCTACGCTCGTTCAGATAAACCCCCGCCATTCAAACTCATGTTTTAACCTCACCGCCCAGGACTTTTTCTCTTTACTCTAAAAAGAAAAAAAATGCATTTGTCCCCCGCTGAACGAGGATGAAACGGTGACGCTTTGAAGAAAACTTGTTTTAATGTCTACACTTCTGTCGATAAGCGGAGGCGTGTAAAATGCTCAGCCTCGCTGCTCTCTGCCACTTCCTGGGCGGATCCGCCGAGACGGCTCAGAAGAAAACACGCAGACCTCAAGGATGGTTCTGTACAGAAATCTATATATTTATGAGGTCCGGGGAGTCCCAGGAGCAGAACTTTTAAACACGAGCGACATATGAGTCGGGTCTCTTCATGGAGGCGAATAAATGCAGCCCTCAAACACGGAGAAGTCCTCCCTGCTTTTCAAACACGCAAAGCAAATTTGCCTTTTTTTTTTTCCTGACAGACGTGAAGCTCCCCCTTCTCTGTAAAACCCTCCTCCTCTCAGTAGCTGGTTTCAGTTCAGGAATTTCAACACATGCCCCAGCAGACCACATCTGATGAAATGACTAGGTAGAAACTACARGCAGGCTACAAAGCAGCTGAAGTTAGAACTACAAACATTTCTGAAGATGTGCTGCCAGTGCAGCTGAAACTCCAACATGCACCAACCTTTGTCCATGACCTGATAACATTGTGATGTCTAAACTGTATGGAATAAGATTTGTGCCAATATTTTTCATTTAGTTATTTCACTCACACAGTTTGAAATACTTCGGAGTCCACAAGGGCAGTGGTTCCCAAACTTTTTATCTTCTGACCCACAAAATKTCCATGGCAAAAACTTGTGACCCCAAATATTACTGATCTGAGTACATGAACTTTGTTAATAACCCAAAAAACACAGGCTTTTGACAATCTAAACAGCTTGGACACAAATATAAATACATTTTTATACTTATTTTGTGTTTTTGTAATAGTTATAGGAAAAATATTACATCAGCAATTATTTTATTACCCTTTAAATTGATTTCTGGAGATTATCCAAGGTGCTCCATGACCCATAATTGGGTCCCAAGCCCAACTTTGGAAACCAAAGTGCAGTGGTCCCCAAAATTTTCAGCTTTTGACCCACAAAATAACAGTAGAGACCTGTGCCCCCAGCTATTTTTGGATGATAAACATTTGTATCAGGTCAACAAAACATGAGCACAGTAACAATATTTTTTTATACTAAATTTACCCATTTTAAATACACTAACCTCACTCCTTTATAACAACTAAGGCAAAAATGTCATTAATTCCTAAAATATTTTCAGGACCCCACCTTGATGTTTCGGGACCCCACTTTGGGTCCCGACCCCAGCTTTGGGAAACACTGCACAAGGGGACACGGGCAATTCTTTTTCTTCTGCATTACCTCACAAATTTTTTTATTCCCCTGCAAAAGTTTTACATTTCTTTGCAATACTTAGCCTTCCCATACTTATGCTTGACCTTGCAATACGTTTTTGCGTTCCTTTGCAATACTTTACCTTGCAATACTACTGCATTTCCTTGCAAAAGTTGTTCATTACTGTTGTGCAATTTATTAATTAATTCACATACAAACCATTATACAGGAGTTACTATCTTAAATCAGCTTCAGAATAAAAATATCACAGTCCTGCAATATTACCTCAACTTGTGGTGACAAGAAGGCAAAACGTTTGTGTGGAAATGCAAAAGTATTGCAAGGTAACACCAAACATTTGCGAGTTAACGCAAAATAAAAAATCTCCCTGATGTTTCACTGGGGGCTTCACAAATTGACCATAAATCCACTGATACAAAAAACTAACAAAACTCGTCAAAATTACACAGAACAAGTAAGTAAAAATGGAGCAGAAAAAAAACAATCTCCTTCTCATAATAAATTTCAAAATATTTATAAGGCCACGCTGACATTAACATAAAAAGAATAAAATACAAATAAATTGCAACCAATAACATCAATCCTAATTATTGAGTTCATATCTAATTTTTGCCTTAAAAAGTTTTTAAATTGTGTAATCAAACATTTTTATGTCATCATTCAGATCATTTCATAATTGTACGAGATGATGCTTTGGTCTAGTTCAGGGGTGCCCAAACATTTTTCCTAAGAGGGCCAAAATTAAAATCAATCTGAGGGCCGTGGGCCAAATGAAATAATATAAAAAATGCAAATACTTAAGTAAAGTTGTTTTATTTTTTATGATTAAGCTAGCAGTGTGGTTGCCCACATTCTTTATTTACTTTTTTCAGCTCATGGACGTGGAGAAAATTCAACATGTGTTCAGGCAGCAAAGACTCATGGGAGTATATGTGGTCTTATAAGGTGTGTAAATCTATATATTGGCTTAAATCTAATCTAAATGCCTCTTGTAATAACTCGTATTTCATATTTAATCTTAACATAATTACAACCTAGTAACAAGGACAACTGCTGGTGGGCCAAAGAAGTGGCTCGGTGGGCCAGTTTTGGCCCCCGGGCCCTACTTTGGGCACATCTGGTCTAGTTTGTGCAAATTAACATTTCAGATTAAATTTCATACCGTTATCATCACTGGACTGCAATTTAAAAAAACGTGAATTATTTGGTGGCAATTTCATTTTACCTATGCACAAAACTAGCATTTTTAAATCAACAAAATTTTTACTTTTCAAAATTTTTGACCTCAAACAATTTGTTAGATTGTTCTCTAAGACTTATAAAGTTCTTATAATTTTTTGTAATACAAAGGTTTAATGTTAGTTACAGATGTGTTGCAATAAAACCTCAAATATGGAACAATTGGTGAATAATACAAAATATGCGTGTTTTATTTATGACAGTAAAATCAAACAAAAACAGAAGTGTGAAGAAAAATAATATCAAAATAAACATTAAAGCTGCTAGTGACTCATTAGAATTATCATAATCACACACTTAAGTTTGTCACTTTGTGACAGCGCTCCTTATTTGACAGGTAAACAGAAGTGCAGAGCAGAATTTAAGCCTCAAATAGACAGTCACTGTGCGAAATCTTTAAGTTTTATTTGACATATTCCTGAACCATACGCAGGAGAAGTGTTGGATTGTCCCGTGTGTACATTCCTATGTGACAACAGTGTTTTATGATGAGCTAAAAAGACACAATGAAAGTCAATGTGTGTGTATGTTGCACTCTGTGGGGACTTAAAATAAAACCACGAGTCATGTAGCAGTGATACACTGAAAATAAAAATGACTGATATTTCAACTCTATAAGAAGTGTCAAATTTGTAGGAATAAAATACATTTTTTTATGTCTTACATTGTACTGCTACCAAAAGTCAAAACACACATTTCCATGGGTTTTCTCAAACTATGAGATAAGTAACGAATTGAAAATTGTGATGAAAATGTAAGATTAACAGCCACTCAAAAAAATAAGGGTGCGTTAATCCCTCTGCATTTGCACCTTTAATCACAAAAAAATATGTATTAAACAGCTTAGCATGTGCATAAAAGCCAAACACATAAAGAGGGTGTGAACACTTGTAAATATGTAACAAATGTGCGTTTATTTAAATCGACCAAGGGACCATAAACTTGGCTTGCTTTGAGTTTATTAAACGCATCGCAAACTTTAGCGTTAATAAGAAAACAAACCTTGCCCTTTATATGATGCAGCAGATGGGAGATTGCTCCACCTGATCACACAAATTTACTTTTCAACATGCGGGATGCAGTAGCACCTACCTGCATTTCTGATCTGTGCCGATTACTTTTCCAAGAACTGCCCTCGTCTGCCGTGGGACTGCCAGACCTCTGGATAAGAACAGTGTGCAGTTATAACGAAAATCGATGTCCGACAAACACAAAGAAACAAAAGTAAAAGCTCCACATAGCTTGATGTTCACAGGGTTTTTCCAAATCAGGTGTATGTGGAAGATGTGGTTAAGCATTAACAAATGGAGCAGGTAAAAAAAAAAAGCTGCAACTGCACACTGAATTCTATTGTGTAAAAGAAAAGGTGCTTAATGCAGCGGGAATACCACTACAGGGTTTTAAACTTTGTCCCTTGGATCAACTATTCTGCTTCTACCCATTGGCTCACTGTATGTAGTAATGGCATTGATAAATGTCGTTTTTCTTGTACGTATATTTTGTGTTATTAAATTCAGTCTAGTAAGACACAATTTTAAAAAACAAGCTGAAATTTAACATGTTGACCCCTAATATGGTCCCAATTGTCCTACCTGTAACGAGGTAGTGGACTGAGCTCGAGACAGATACCCACTGCCCCCATAGTGCCATTCTCTGTCTGTGTCCAATGTATCGTCCCACTCCGTTGAGGGATGCCTGCTCAGGGAGTGACTGAAACGACACAAACAGTTTATCAGCGTGCCCAATCAGGTGAAATCTGATGGCATACCGAAAGAAAAGTTCAGTTCAAGCTGGCTCCAATATGTAGCAAAAAAAAAATCATCATCAGTTACTAAATATGTGTCGGGAATCAACAGCATAGCTTAGTATTTAACAACCTGGCAGGTTTAAAGAGCTCCTGCCTCCGAACAGGCTGACTGTTCTGTGGACGCCCCGTGTGGCCTGGCTCCTCCTTCTGATGGATCTTTTTGACTTTTGGCAGGTCGGCCAACATGGCGTACTCCTCCTTGTTCCGTCCTGTTGATCCCACTGAGATCCGGCTCGATTCTGATGACTCCATGGAACTCTGCGAAGAGGTGTGGCTCTGGATATAAATCTGAGGTGGAGGAGAGGGGCTCCGTGCACGATGGGAGGGCTTCTTGTCCATCTGGGGTGGAGGAGAGGGACTTTGGATATGATGCGAGGGCATCTTGCTGAGCTGAGGTGAAGGAGGTCGACTTCTTGCACGGTGAGATGACCTCTTATCGATCTGAGGTGAGGGAGGGGAACTTTTTGCACGGTGAGATGACCTCTTGTCAATCTGTGGTGAAGGAGAGGGATTTCTTGCATGTTGATATGACCTATCAATCTGAGGTGAAGGAGAGGGACTTCTTGGATGTTGAGTTGACCTCCTATCAATCTGAGGTGAAGGAGAGGGACTTCTTGGACGTTGAGTTGACCTCCTATCAATCTGTGGTGAAGGAGAGGGACTTCTTGGACGTTGAGTTGACCTCCTATCAATCTGTGGTGAAGGAGAGGGATTTCTTGCACGTTGATATGACCTCCTATCAATCTGAGGTGAAGGAGAGGGACTTCTTGGACGTTGATATGACCTCCTATCAATCTGAGGTGAAGGAGAGGGACTTCTTGGACGTTGATATGACTTCCTATCAATCTGGGGTGAAGGAGAGTGACTTTGTGCACGATATGAGGACCTCTTATCTTTTGAAGGGGGACAGTGATCCTCGTGTCTACCATGTGCAGATCTGATGCTGCCAGAAGTTCTGGTCATCTCCAAAGGGACGTAAGCAGTGCTGTTGCTATTTACAGTTTTTCTAGGGATGGGTCGAGATGGTGAGGAGCTGCGCGGGGAATGAGCAGATCCCCTCCACGAGTTTGGTGAGCGATCAGAGTCAGCTTTAGTTTCACTGGCAGTGATCTTTCTCTGAAAGGAATGAGCAGAGTCTCCATTGGTAGCACTTCTGAGGACGGAGTAACCTGGTGGATCACTGTTGCCTTTTCGAGAAGGAGAGAAGCTTGTGTTCTGATTCTTGTTGTTGAGGGTGATACCAGTTTTTGTCATTTGATGTGAATGGTGGTCAGGGGCATTATAGGTCTTCCTTAAAGTCGAGTAGCTGGAGCTGCTGTGGCTTCTTACAGCACTGTTTATTTCAGACTTGTGTAGCAGTGACTGAGAAGGAGCTTCATTGCTTATCCTTGATGGTGATGAGCTACGTTTTTCATAACCACGATCATTTGATGAACGAACACTGAGGTCCCTTTCCCCATACTGATGCTGATTAACAGATTCATGACCTCTCTTTCCAGGAGAAGAGTAATGGCTGTTCCAACTTTGACTGTTGCTGGCTGTGCTTGACTCGGTTTTGCGAAGTATGGATGGTCTCATTCTGTCAAATCCTTGTCTAGATGGAGACACATCAAGGTCTTCACATTGTTCTTGTTCATTTCTAGTTAATTGGTTACGCAGTTGAGCCTGGCTTTCGATGCCATAGCCCTCTCTTACCGGGGATCCACAGCGTCCATGATGACTATGTTCATTTAGAGACATAACTGATTCAGATTTACGAAGGAAGTTTCGACTAAATGCGCTAAAATTTCTACTCGGCAGTGAGGAAGTGCGACTGTCGCTCACACGGTCTGAAGATCTCCTAGATGGAGAGGAAGTACGACTGCTGCTGCCAAGTCCTTGTGATAAACTAGACATCGGGGCTGAAGAGCTACGATCGCTCCTTGGGGGAGATGAACTTCTGATGTCAGCACTTCGTCCACCTGAAGAACTGTTCACTTCAGTTTTTCGTAAAGCACCCCTAAAATCAGAAATTGCACTGGTTTGGGTTTTGACTGGACCAGCCAACGATTTGAAGTTTCTTGGTAGAGTCCCTGATTCAAAGCGTCTCCCCTGTGTGCTCTGCAAGGAGCTTCTCAATCCTGGTGTTGTCCCTTGAGGCCATCCTCCACTGTCAAAGTTTTGCCCGCTTAGAAGGCTGCTGGATTCACTGCGTCTCATTTGAAAATTTCCACGTGAGGGGGAAGAAGAGCGAGATTGCAGGGCTGAGCTTTGCCTCGAGGAATCATATCGCCCAAACTGTTGAGAGGGGATGTTATGAGACGAAGGATTTCCTCGACTTGAACCCTTTCGACCACTTGAGGCCAGTGACTCTGCTATCTTAAAAGGGGTAGGGCTCGGGGATCGGGGTCCAACTTGTGCCTCAACTTCAACCGCAACTTCGTAAGGGTCAGGGGGAGGGATTTCTTCAGGTAAGTCCTCATCATAAACCTCTGGTATCAACCTCTCGGAGGCCACGCCGAGATTTGGGTTTCTGAAGGGGACAGTATCTTTGGGCTCAACGTTCCTGTGGCCAAAGATGGGATGACCTCTTTCGAAGTGTCGAAAAGGAGAAGCTGGGCTTGATTCAGACAGGGAACGAACACCTGCTGCCCTCCCTAGGGAGTAGTAGCCACTTTCACGCTTCTCTTCTTTTAATCCTGGAAAGAAAAAAAAGGATTTTGAAGAAAATATAAATAAGGAAAAAACAGAAAAAACAAGAGATGCATAAAGATCACCTGTAGGTTTTCTGACACAAACCTACTGATATTTTATTACAGTTAATTGCTTTTTGACACCTCAGCTGGTGACTGCAAATAGTGCCAAGTAAAAGACACCTCTGGCTGTAATTGGATATAGATAGGTCAAGTGTAGTAAGCCATTAGGACTGAAGAGTCTACAACTGCACAGAACATCCTGAACAATAAGCTATCACCTGATATAGTTTTTTTTTCTCTTCCAACTTGTTCTACTGTATTTTAATTGCCCCAAAACGAACYCAGTGAAAAAMGGAATGTACCTGAGCGTCCAGGGAAGCTGCTGCCTCGAGTCTCCTCCATCCAGGCCCGTGGGTTGGGCCGGTGAGGTGGAGGGTCAAGCCGGGTCATGCTGAACTTGGTGGGACGGCGTTGAATAGCCAAGTACTCGTCCTCAACGCTAACAGAACTGCTGAACTCTGCGCTTTGGTCCCAACAGCTGCGTGGAAGAGGAGGTAAGAAGAAGTAGAGATGAGAAGGKGAGAGAGCCGAGTGTTTGATCCGACGAGGAACGGAAAGTCACAAAAATGCATCAGATGAGATGGGGTTATTAAAATAATTATCCAGTGCATGTCTAGATGTAGCTTCTCAGCACAGTTAATGCCTACATAGTCATGTAAAACCTACATTCTTCTGTCTTTTCTTACCTGTCTGTGCTGTGGTCGTCGTCGCCGTCACAAATATAAAGCTCACAGTCTGGGCTCAGGATGCACAAAGAGGTCTCATCGTAACCCGCGTGACCTCCATTGACATCACAGTAGCTACTCACCACTGATAGACCGTCAGAGTCCTCCTGATAGGGTGACAGGGAAACATACGAGCCAATCACATCGCTGCAGCGAGGGTTCTCTCTCTCCAAGTCACACAGATGATGTTGAAAGAGACCGTGTCTCCAAAGCAAAGGTCAAAAAGCCATTGTGATGAGACCAACGAGAATCATTTAAAAAGCATAAAAACACACGAGGCAGTCGTTAAGAAGTAGAAACATCTTTGCCTGATTCTAGATTAAAGAGTGAAGTTTGTCTCTCATCTCAGACCAACACATTTATTCTGCTGTTTGATTAGGATTACACCTTTGTAACCTGACCTGCCTTGTGGCTTTTCCTCATTATTTTTTCATCACTATTCTTGTTTTTCTTACCTCAAACTCTTCTTCTAAACTACATGGTGTTAAAAAGAAAAAAAAACTATCTGTCAGATGGGGGGAAAAAACACTAAAATCTTTACATCTTTTAAAAGGAAATGAAAGGAGCTCAACTCAACTCAGAATGTCCAAAACAAAGTAAAGAACACATATAACAGAATATGCAAGGACCAGCAGAGAGTGTCACAGTTTTAATGCTGCTCAGAAACATTTCTTAGTTTTCCTGCAGCTCTGTGAAACAAGTGATTCCCAAGAGAGTGGTAAGTGATCCAGCTTCATCTATTTATAATGGGAGCCACTAGTGACCCCCCCCCCCCCACACTCCACACTGTTACCTCACATCTTCTGTCTTCTGTTACTAAAAAGCAACAAAACTCGCACATAACTGTACATATTTGCTTTCAATTAGCAGTTTTTGATTACAAAGTTTTGGGTCAAATAAGAATGTGTCTACTATGAATTCAGATTTAAAAACTTGTGCAGAATCTTGAAAGCAACTATGAGTTCACAGAYGAGGACTGCCTGCCCTGACCTGTACTCATCTTGCCTGTCAGGCTTCCCTCACATCCAGTAAAACCCATCAGTGAGCACACGTTGCACTCGTGCTTCCTCACAAATCAGCTCTCCTCCCGATTGCATAATCTCTTGGTTTATCTTGTCTTTTTTTATTCTTACCTTGCTGCTGTTGGTGTCTCTTTCCTCTGCCTGGGAGGGGATTGGTGTCAGTAGAAACACTCCTCTGCCCGACCCAATCCCACTTCCAATCCCAACATCGGTTCCAGTTTTGGTCCCAGTTTCAGGCTTTGACAAGGGTTTCTGCTGAGGGGCCGCCTCGGGGCTCTCCCCTGAGCTGGTGTGCAGGTGTCTCTGGCGAAGGCAGTCGTGGCAGCGGGAGGGGTCGAAGATGTTGGGCTGGAACTTTGGGCAGATGGGCTCGTTGTTGGAGAGGGGCATGGTGGGTCCAGAGGGGGCAAGGTGCTCATTATCCCATAGGTGACTAAAAAACACATGCAAGGTCAAGAAATAACATACATGAGAATAATGCAGAGACCTAAGAAATTGCAATAAAAAAATGTATTTTTTTAAGTTGATATCAGTAATAAAATATATTTTTAAAATGTTCCTGCAGATATGTAGAATAAAACTGCAGATTTTAAATATTGAGTCTGCAGCAGATGTGAGCACTGAGCAACTGCTTCATTTCATGATTCATCAAAGATTAAATTGAGATCCTGTACATTTGCAGAGGCAGTGCACTGAGAGCAAYAGGACTACAAACCACCACTCTTTATTAGCTTTTACCAAAAAGCATACCCTATAACAGCCAAGCAAGTGCAGAATAAACAATAAAGCTTTGAAAAAACACAAAATGGATTTCAGAAAAACACAGAAAAATAAAATGAAATTACCAGACAAGAGAGGCTCCTGCTGTTTGAACTTTGGGGATAAACTGCTCATTGGACCCCCGTCAGACACAGGCCTGGTCTTCCTCATGCTCCTGGGATCGCAGCGTTCTGATCAATCTGATTGGCTGTTCTCGTAGTGAGTGAAACTGAAGCTTCCATGATGGCTCTTGGTTAAACAGTCTAACTCTGGAATACACACACATACACACAGAACCCAGAGCCAGCATGGAGCTATGGCTCTTATGGTTGGATTAAATATCATGAGCTTTTAGAAAACGAAATGAAACGCTTGAGGTAGTGACAGCTGGCAGGCACCGGCTCAGGTTAACGTAAATAAGTAAACACTGCTCTGTGTGTGTGTGTGTGTGTGGGGGGGGGTTATAGCTGTATAGTTGTGCAGATTGCTCCAATAAAAAAAAATTAATCTGTCTTTTTGATTACTTGCAGGTAATGCTGAGCTTAAAGGAAACACAAAGCTCAGGGTTTATTTCCTGATGCACTGCAGAGGATGTTGACAGCAGCATCAGGTTTCCTAATTGAACAATAGAGCRCAGAGGAACAAAATTCCAAGCAGAGCAAACTGTATGTGACATAAGACTCTGATATGAGGTCAGTATTAAGGTTTCCTTTAATCCAAATGTAAGAACATAGTGAAATCAGTGTGACATTAAAAAACAAACACAGGAGCTCAGGTCCACACAAAAGGGTCACAGCTCTTCAGAGATCCAGTCCTGAGTCAGGGATATATTTATAAAAACGACATGTTTTCAGTCCTGATGGTCCGTTTTTCCGCCCGTCTGCCGGCGTCTCTGACGCTTGCTGGTCCTCCCACTCTTGCGTTTACTCTCCGTGTCCATGGGTCTCCCGCCTGTCCGACGGCCTCGTCCGTCTTCCTGCTTCCCTTTCCCTTTCCTTTTCCTTCTCCGCTTGCTGGTGAAGGTGCTGAGCGCTGCCGTGAGGGAGCGGATCCTGCAGCGGGGGGAGAGAGAGCAGAGTGTAGCAGGTAGATGAATAAGAAAAAAGACAAACCCACTGTGTCACTATGGTACCACTCCAGAGTGGAGTAGAAAGAAATGAGTCAGAGTGTGCGGTCATTATCTAAAACCATACTGATTTATTTGTGAAACAAATACAATCAGCTTACTTTTTGTTCAAAATGGGATCTTTTGCTTTTTTTGGCATAGCAGGCGTTTTCTCTTCCTCTTCATCATTGTCTTCATCATTACTCTGTCCATCAGCCTTAAAATCAGAGATAAAGTTATAACCTTTTGTTTKTTTTTTTTTACTCAGATACTTTTGTAAAAAACATATTTACATGATTTGCAGCTTGTTGGAGCAGGTGTGCCCCCGAGAGGTCAAGATCACTTATGGTTGTCACAGTGACTGTGTGGTTTGGGTGATCATATTGAATGGACTCTGTTTTACTGATTACTACATCTTCCAGATCATCTTCGGCGTCCGCTGTAGGATGGAGAGGGGCACAGAAAAAAATTAAACTAAACACAAAATACAGATTCTGATTACTTGAGTTAAAACAAAGACAAAAAAAAAGATAATTTAACTCACCGAGAGCTTCTGTACGCTCCTTCAGCATCTTCACGTATTCCTTATGTCGCTAAATAAAACAAACAGTGAAGAACTCACATCCTGTGCTTACATGAACATCCATTTAGGTCTGTGCTGATTCATAAATAAATGTTTACTCACTTCCTCTCGGACTCTGCTCTTTTCTTCTTTAATTTTCTGTTTAATTTCTTCCACTGCTGCTTTCCTCCTCTCCAACTTTCTCTTATGGAAACCAGTCAAATAGTCTCTGGAGAAGAAAAATAAAAAATTCACATTTATTGTATCTAAACTTCTATAACACGCCGTTTAAACAAAACACATAATTGAATATTTAAATGTTGTTGTTTTTTTTTAGTCAAACCAAATTAGAAAACTAGCATCCACAATATTTATAACCAAGATTAGCATGTGTGAGAATATTAAATAAAAACTGTAAATACCTGCGTGTAATTTGGTTTATCATTGCCATATTTAAAACACACAGTGTGCTGCACAGTGAACAGTTCTTTACAATAACTTTAAATAGATTAAGAAAAATATATCTGCTCTAATTGTGATAGGCTGATAGCTAACAGCGTCAACATGACAAATAAACTTACTGTCTGGCTTTGTCGTCAAACGTTACGACGCATTTGTTCTCTCTCTTTTTAGATCCTGGCTTGAATTTTGCCTTTTGAGGCCCGTTTTTACGGTTTTTATGATTTTTCATGTTGTTCACGTGAGTTTAGAGTTGGAGACGTCCGTCATTTAAATTCGTCCGATAGGAAACACGCTCATCAGGAACAGTTCTGCTGGACTCTGACAGCGGAGACGTGCAAAACATTGTCAGGAAAAAAAAGGCTATTGAATCAACTAATTGTAGTTTTATAAATTTTAAAAGAATATGTCAAGAAAGGATACAATTAAAAAAACATTATTTTAACCACAGTTGTGGGTTTTTCTAAATGCACTCCTCGCTCTGACAGATCAAAATGTTACAAGTTATCCTAATGATGTCTCAGGTATGTTCTATTTCATCCCTACTGACCACCAGAGGGCGGTGCTAAAAGCACTGAATGTTCCCTTCGCGCACGCGCCGTTCGAGCTTTAATACCAACAGAGTCACACCTGTGACCAATCGGATGACTAACGGAGGCTATATAACTTGACGTCATTCAAAGCTCTGTTCCTCTTTTCTACTCGCCTTACGACTGCCATTTGGGGAGGGGGTCCTGAAGAAGGGCGGTCCTGGGCTGTGGGTGGGCTCGGGGCTTGGACGGTCGCCGGGGGCGGGGCTGGCTCTCCATCCTCCCTGGTGCTGCTCAAGTACACTTCGCTGCAGCATGCAGAACGGGGCGGTGACAGACCTTTCCGTCGGTCCCATTCCTTATATGGAAATGGTACTATTGCATTCCGGAAATGAAGGGGGCGCTAGTGACACTATTTTCTATCGAACACTATCAACATTAACAATACAAAATTTACAGTAAGGAATTTCTTATCTTTATTTGCACCCATCCTTTTTCTCTTTTATGCAAGTTTGTTTGTTTGAAATACGCCTTATTGTTTGTACATTGTATCATTTTGTGTGTTCTTTGTTGTTTAATAAAAAAATAAAATAAAAAAAGAAAATTTACAGTAAGGAAATGGCTACACAACGTGTTATGTCAMGTGGTATGTCCCTTTTTCATTTTCAAATCTTTATTAAATCTTTGTTGTTTTTGGATATTAATATTATATTACAGTAACAAACTAACCTTAGGCATTAGGCCTGTGAGGTTAACCTTAGGCATTAAACCTGTGAGGTTAACCTGAGGGTCTGTGTTTGGGGAGGTGGATAAAAGAAATTAATAAATAATGCTCTGAGTACTTCAGCGTGAGTAGAAGAAACTCTCTAACTTCTTCCTTTCTTCTTCCTTTGCTCTCTTAATCCCACGCAACCTTCACTTCCGGAATGCAATAGTCCCATTTCCATATAAACTATGGGACTGACGGAAAGGTCCCCATTCTGCATGCTGCAGCGAAGTGTACCTCGTGCTGCTTGGTCTCCTGAGGTGTGGCTCTTGGTTCCTGTGGGTGGCCCACTGGCCGGGGTGGCTGCTGGGTTCCGCGGGGGTGGACGGCTGGGGGGGTGCACTTGGTCGCTGGCGGTGTGGTGGGGTGGTCATGGGTGTGGCTTCTCTGTGGCAGGGGGCTGGCCGGGCGTCCTGGTGCGGCCCGGGCCGGGCCTTGGCTATCTGCTCCTCTCCACCTGAGAATGATTGGGTCTACCTCCTGGGTTCGGGTGTGTGCGGCCTCCATTAGGGGGTGGGTACATGTCCTGGACCTGTGGGGCATAGAGTGTGTATCGGGGGTATGAGTGGAATGTGGCGTCCTTGTATGTCTTTGACTGAGGGGGGTGAGGATGAGGGTGGGATGGTGCGATTGTGTATGTTTGGGTATTTGTCAGGCTGCGGTCTGGGCTGCCCCTACTGCTGGTTTATCTGGGGGCCCGCTGCTGCTCGGCCCCCCGGTGGGGTGTGCGGCTGGCCGCCGGCGTGCTGGAGGTTCCCGGGGTCTGGGGCTGGGCGCTAGGGTGTGTGCCAGCCTGGCCTGGTGACTGCCTGCTGGGGCTCGGGGCCTCTGGGCCTGTCGGACTTTGGCCTGGGGGGGGGTGCACCCTGGGGGCCCAGACCTCTGTGCCCTTTCCTGATCTGCTTTGGTATGGCGGGTGCCGGTGGGGCCCATGAGTTTGTCGCTGCTGGCCCCGGGGGCTGTGCGTGTGGTCGCTGGGTGGACTCTCCTAGTTCTCCCCTATTGTCTGATCTGGTGGGTGGGCGGATCTTCCCGTGCGGGTGCCCCTTGGGGC